ATATAAGCCCCTGCAAAATTCTCCCAAAAATTCAACACAAACCCTAATTGATTTTCTCTTCTTTTCAAGTTCTAGTTGGAGGAAAAACCTAACGGTTGAAGAACCAAGATAGGAGCTGAGATATTTACCAAATAAGGTAAGTATTATGCTATCCTTCATCCATTTTTTCTTCTGGAAAATGATAGAAATTCGTTCTATTATTGTAAGAACTCACGGGACGGTGATCGAAAGCCGTGAGTTCGAGTTATTCAACTTGTAGTGGACTGTTTTGTGGGTTGTTTTGTGTTGTTGTTGGATTGTGTGTTTTGCTACTGCTTTATGGAGTTTTGGAGGAGAAAGGGTGTGGAGAAACACCACATAAAGGCGAGATGGTTGGCTGGTCGTTCGTAATAACATTTTCGGATTGTTTGACACTACTATGGTGGTCGCTTTGCGTATGAAGATATTGGGTGCATTGGGCTGTTTTGTGCTATTTTTTTATGGATATAAGGTTGGAAAATAATGTATAGATGTGTTATTATTGTGCTCTTTGTGTTGTTGGTGTTGTCTCGAATTGGGAGGAAGTAAAGATTATAGGGGAGATGCTGCACATTTTAATATAAAATAAGCTTGTCGTTCGTTGTGTGATAGTTGTACCTTCCGTAATTTGATGATAGTATTGTTATCGTTGTTGTAGATTATGGTGAAATGAGACGAGTTCAACGTGGTTATTGGACAGATTGTGGTAAGGTATGTTAAGGTTAAACCCTTCCTTCATTTTGGTATGATCTCGTAACTACATGTGTTTGATAACACGACATAATGAGGAGTTAGTATTCTTGAATTTATGTGCATTATCCTAGTCTCATAAATTACAGTATTCTCCCTTATCGAGATATTATATTCAGTTAAGTATTGTCTTCTTCTAGTCAAGAGAGCAGAGCAGTATATATAGTATTATAGTATTTTCACTACCATCGAGCTATAATCGGTGGGCACACCCCTATTGGGCAGTATTACAGTATTTTCACCACCATCGAGCTATAATCGGTGGGCACGCCCCTATTAGGCAACCTCATATTAGATGGTAAGTTACATAGTGAGCCTACTGTGGCTGCGCGCCTATGAGAGAGCCCAGAATGGCAGAGATACAGAGCCTAGTATAGTCGAGCACCTATGAGTGAGCCTACTACGGTAGAGCAGTTATACGTACCGAGCCTTATAGGGCCGAACAACTATTTTACTTACTATATTGAGAGAGTTGAGTCAATATCGGTAGGTAAGCATATCTTCAAATTATCTTTGACTCACAGTTACTTTCAGTTATTGTATTATTAGTTCAGTTTCAACTTTTAGTTATTCTGTTGCCTTGCATACTCGATACATTATTTCGTATTGACGTCCCTTTTGTCAGGGATGCTGCATTTCATGCCTGCAGGTCCTGATACACAGCTGGATAGACCTTCCCAGTATATAGAGTCAAACATCAGCTTGGTTGGTAAGCTCCACTTCTTCGGAGTTACCTGGTCTAGACCTTGGAGTCCATTTTATATATACAGGCTTGATGGGTAGGTCGAGGTCCTGTCCCGACTATGATACAGTTCAGTTATCTCTAGAGGCTTGTAGATGAGTCCTGTATATTTTATATATCAGTATTGTGGCCTTGCCATTCCTGTGTACTTGTTAGTTTGGTATTGCTGGTTGTAGACATTCATGCTGTCCTCGTCGACCTTGATTGGCATTGTCAGCTTGCAGGTAGGCCTCGTCGGCCTAAGTTGAGGGTTACCCCCTAGAGTTCACAGTTACAGAGTGGTACGCTCGGGCCAAATATGGCACCGAGTGCCGGCCACACCTCCCTAGATTTGGAGCGTGACAATTTTGGTCACTTGATATTGTATTCATACTTTTATAATAATATAGATATAGATTAGGTTATTATTTAGCATATATAGGTACAAAATTAATTTAAATATTCAAAAATTAAAAGGGAGGGTAGATATATTTATTCTCACTAGTATAAGGGTATATATGACCCTTTTTTGTTTAACATATCAAGAGGAGCAAGATCCTCGTAAATCGCCTAGGTTACGAAGGAGAACCATCCACAACGTTCTCCAATTCTAAATTCTAATATCATATCGCGCGAGACATTTAGATTTACATTCATTGGAAAATATCTTTCTTGTGGGCATCTTAAGAGGGAAAACTACATTGTGGATTGGCGATTAGATTCAATTGTATTAACTCTAGAGATTACGGGGATGCCTTATTCCGCAATTTTTCTGCAAATTTTGATTCAAATACTATGACCAAACTTCAAAAGAGCTTCATCAAGTGCATGCATAACAATTTATTTTTGTGTGATGAGTTTAATAACCCTAGGTATTTTTATTTGAATAGTATAACGGAGATCAAATGTAAACTATTTACTGTTTGACTCAAAAGTTGTTTAATACTTATTAAGCAAATCAATCAATATAGATGAAGGGGTAAATCGTAGTCAATCTTAATTAATATTGGATCAAAGAATATAATCATAAAGATAGAAAAATCAATTGAAATGACACCTGAGAGGTTTTATTGATTATAGAAATTCGGCCTGCCTCTCCTTGAAGAGGTTTAGGAGATTACAATCAAATTCTTTCTACCTCCTTGGAGGTGGAATCTCTCTCTCTCTCTCTCTCTCTTTCATGGAGTTCTCCCCTGTTTTTCCGAATTCCCTCCCCCTTTAAGGGGTTCTTCTGCCCTCTATTTATAGCTCAAAACTTCTCATGCTTATCATATTTTGTTCGGGCCGGGTCGGGGAGGTGACCTTCCCTCATGGGGAGGCCTTGACCTCGACGCTCATGTCATAAATAACATCGATTAGGTAAAGTCGAGTTCGTTGATTACTGCTGCAGGGCGGTCGGGACGGGATCATTGCTGCTATGGTCGCGTGGTCAGATTCTGACCAATACAGTTAGTCCCTCCGTTCGTCGGGGTTGTATCTTACCGACCTCGGCGAACGGATAATGTTTGTGACGTAATCATGGAGGGAGTCAGATCCGCGTGTTTTTCTTTGGTCGCGTTATGAATTTCGAAACTGCCCGGAGGCATCTTTCTAATATTCTTATGCCGTCACGACGGTTTCGAAACCGAAGAGCCGGTTGATAAATGAAACGTAGCTTTGTACAAGCGGTCACATTGGCGCATGTTCCCAAGGAGCTGAATCATTTTATGCCCGGCCAGGTTCTGGCGGCGACCGTTGGTTTTTGTGCCCTGGAGAATTTGTGTCTTATAAATTGGAGGGGTTTGTCACTCGTTTCTCACACTTTATCGCTCATCTTCGAGAGAATTCCCAGAATATCTCCCTTTCTATTAGTTTGAGCTCTTCTTGACTCCTTTGCTCGCGGCAATCTTGGGCTTTCTCGCTTCTTCCTCAAAGTTCCTCCCTCCTCTTTTTGTGAGTTAAAGATGACAGGAACTTCTTCTTACGATAATATTTCGGCTATCTCTCCGACGGCCGGGGACCCTGCTCCGGCAGACGGAGACGTAGACCCGATGGAGTGCGAAGATGTTCCTTCAGTAGAGGAAATTTTATCCCGCTCGGGGAAGGCTGTGGTGGATTTCAGCGCTGATGGTGGTGCGGAGGAGGTAAATATTCCTCCCCTTATAGGGGAGATCAGAATAGCGGATTTAAGGGCACGATGGGGTATTCCTGATTATGTCAAGATGGTGCCGGCAAAGAGAGAAGATAGGGTCCAGATCGACCGTCCCGGGTTCTGCTCGTTCTATGCTTACCCCTTCCTAGTGGGGTACACACTTCCGCTTCCAATGTTGGTGGTCGATTTATGCCGCTATTATGAGGTGTTTCCTGCCCAACTCTCTCCTTACCTGTACAAGCTGTTCCTCATGTTTATCAAGTATGCGGAGCTAGCCGGTCGGGAGGTCACTCTGAGACACGTGCTCAGCCTGTTCGCTCCCAAAAGATTCGCAGCACTATGATCCACGCGCGTCCTCGAGGGTCGAAAGGTTTAGTGGTCAAGATGGACGACAGGACCAATCGTCATTTCTTTGATAACTTTTTCTACGTGCGGACCGAGCACCTTGTAGGTGATCCAACTGGGTTTCCAGAAGTGTGGAATTTTGCTCGTAAGTCTTCGTCCTTGACTAGTGGAGTACCCACTTTGGCCTCGCTTTCTTTATATCTCATGCTGTAAATATTGATCTATTTCGATGCTTTGCAGCCGAGAAGTTACCCCCGCCTCCACTGGAGGGGATCGAGAATGGGTCGAGGCCATTCTTCCCCATACAACGGGAGTTCGCACATGGTCGACGTTTCATATGAGATTCGGACGTAGGCCCCTTACAGGTGAGATAGCGCCCTTATTTTTTACCCGTTCTCTTTCGTTTCGATCTTACCTTTAGAGTATTGTTTGCCATGGCCAGGGAGGGTTCGCAGAGTCAGGGCTCCTCAGTTAGCTTTCCGTCGGCCGTCCGCGTCCACTCGTATCAGTGCAGTACCTGCAGCCCGTCCGTCGAGGGAGGCATCGGTAGAATCTGTGGCTTTGGCCGCTCCGACCCAGACTATATCTCCAGAGGAGGGTCGGTCTGGTACCGTCCGTCCTCAGAACGACTCGCCATCAGCCGTGAAGGAAGAAGGGCCATCGAAGAGGCGGAGGGTATGGTTTGAGATGGTCCCTCCGGCAGTGATCAACTTGGATTCACCCCCAGCAAACCCAGAGGAAGGTGTTGTTGCGACGTTTACCGCTGAGGGGGAGCAGATGGTCGGGGCTATTTCCACCAGTCAGAGCCAGGAAAATTCTGCTGGTGTAGCGACCCAATCAGGAGTTCTCGCTGCCGATAACGTAGGACATCTCGCTGTAGAGTAGAATCGGACCCCTGATGCTGCCGTCGTGACCTCGAGTGCGCCGTTACCGTCCTCGGCAGGTCGTGCCACACCGTCGGCAGCAGAGGGGGGAAAGAGTGTAGTGATCGACGAGTACGAGTCTGAGTCTAACTTGGACCCTGATGATATTCGGATGTTTGAGGAAGGCATTACTCGCTCGGTGGTTAATGCGGAGGGGTCGGCCCGTCTCGTTGAGATCCTCTCCGACGTGAACCTGTTGATGCAAGGAGGCAACTTGGTACCACAATTCAGCTTGTTGTGTTCGGAGGCCGAGAACGAGTCCCTGAGGAATGTTTCGGATGTCGAAGTGATGGACCAAGTAGCTGTAATGGGCTTACGGGTATGTTATAACTGACTTCGATTTGTTTCTCCTTTGTTGCAGAATGAGCATTAGTTTAACTGCTTTCCTGTTTTGCAGACGTACATGTTGGAGGTAGAGAAAATTCGCAGAGCCAATGTCCGATCGAGGATCTTCTTGCAGATGCTGGAAAAATACCATCGCTATCGCGATGGGTGTCGTGAGTTGTACGAACGGTTAAGGACTGATCCCCGCAACCGGTCTTTGGGCGAGGAGTTGGAGAAGAGGGACCAGGAGCTAATGCAGGCGCTTCGCAGCAAGAGCGAGCTCGAAGAGCAAATCCGCCTCAAGGACGAGGAGCTCGAGGTGGGCAAAGGGGTCGCTGCGGAATGCGAGCACATACAGGGCAAGTTACGAGCAATGCAGTTGGAAATTGAGCAGAGCCAGGCCAGAGCAGCGGAGATGAACGCCGAGTGGAGCGGGAAGTTGACTGCGCTGGAAGGCAATGTTGCCGATTTGAAGCGCATGGAGAGGGCATCGTTGGATGCTTCGACGAGGGCAGCGTCCTTAGAGGCGGCAATTCGTGTACATGAGTCCGAGCGAGAGTCGGAGAGAGCTACTGCAGCCCTTAGGGAGGCGAGGCTCGAGGAGTGGATTGGCGCGGTTGACCAGGAGGCCTTAGTCTTGTCAGATCGGGTTGCGGCTTTGGAGGAGGAGAATCAGCGATTGAGGGCCCAGGCTGGATCATCCCGTGTCGCTGTTCCCCGCCAAGCTCATGAACTCTGGGTCTATGCTGAAGCTCAACGTGATATTTTCAAGAACTTATGGGAGGCAGGGACCATGACTGAGGCAGCTTTCGAGGAGGCGTGTTAGAAGGATCGTGAGGCTCGAGCCAACTGTGGATATGATGTGGCGACACCCGAAGCTGATGGGGACGCCAATGGTGATGATGATAACGACGGTGTTGGCGCCGAGTGAGAGAAAATTGTGTTTCGTTGTTTGTTGTCTTTTTATTTAGTTGGCTGGCCTGGACCAGATGTAAGCGGCAATAGCCCGAATTTCTGACTTCGTGAATAAAGAATTCTTCGCTTCTTGCTTTACATTTCAGTTTTCTGGTGGCTTACAATCCAGTCGCGTGGTGGGGGCTTCGTCAAATGAGTCCCTGATTCCCCTTATGTGATGAAAGTTTCTGGTCGTGGGTTTCATTATGAACCTTTTGAGAGGAAAGCTCGTCTCGGTTCGAGCGAGGTCGAACTGTCGAATTTTGATGGCAAAGGCACTTAGCCCGAGTCCCAGTTCGAGCGAGGACGAACTGTCAAGCTTTGATGGCGAAGGCACTTAGCCTGAGTCCCAGTTCGAGCGAGGTCGAACTGTCAAGCTTTGATGGCGAAGGCACTTAGCCTGAGTCCCAGTTCGAGCGAGGTCGAATTGTACATAATAACATGGATTGTATAAAGCTAACAAATCAACGTAAAGTTAAACATGGAAAGAATAACAATATAACGTTACCAATGGAAAGTAAAAACAACAAATAGCAACAAGGAATAAATAGGTGATAATGCAGCACGACATGATCAACCAACTCAATAATACGGAAGAATAAAACTCATGTGATGACTTCAGAGGGAATATTCAAAATTTTGATGGCGAAGGCACTTAGCCTGAGTCCAAGTTCGAGCGAGGTCGAACTGTCAAATTTTGATGGCGAAGGCACTTAGCCTGAGTCCCAGTTCGTAGAGAGGTCGAACTGTCAAATTTTGATGGCGAAGGCACTT